AGCAGTAAGGAAAAATGTAAGTCTGTCCCAGCTTTTTCACTGAAAATTCATATGAATGTTATGATGATAAGACTGATACCAGATGGGTATTTATGCTCTTTTCTAAAAATTGCAAGAATAATTATTTAAATGTATGTGATAGGAAGTTCTTGTTCATGTTATCATTGACTAGCTACTTTCTGTGATTCTCAGAGTTATTCTTAATTCACACAAATATTAATGCAAGCTTGGCAAGCTAGAATTTCATATTGTGTCCAAAGTAATTTTCACTACAAAATTCTGTTGAAACAGCTTCATCATTCAGATATTGGGAACTGTGATTTGTAACAGGTAATTGCAGTTTTTCTTGGAAGTGTTACTTGAATAGGAGTGTGGTGGAGCACAGTACTTTTCCAGTATGGTTTTTCCAAGTTCTTTGGCTACATAATGGTTAAGTCAGCACTTATACGGCATCTCACTCATCATGATTTTACACTTTTTACTGTATTTTCCACTGCTATGGTGAACAGAATTCTGATTTTTATTCTTATCTTAAATGATCTAATTACTGTATTCTCTGCATCCATGCAGTAAATATGAAGAACTCGTGCAGGTCTCAGTGTTCCAGAAATCTGATCCTTCTGGCATGGCAGAAGTTGTGTATGCTTTTAAAATCTACTTGCATTCTTCCTATTTCCTGACTGAAATATTTTGGTGTTTACACTCTCTAGATGTTAACAATTCAGTTAGTCCCAGGGTATTTCTTAGAAGTTGCATTGCTTCTAGTTCCAAATCTGATGGAATGTCCCAAAGAAGTACTCACAAAAAGTGTTTTTAAAAATGTAAACAACTTTCATCAATAACCTGGAAAATATGAGCAAAATAGGCCTCATCTGTTTTCTTAATTGGCTATTGTCCCCATGTGTTAGATCCTTCCTTACTGTATTTAAGTGTTCTTTCTAGACCATAGCCAAAACTGTTAATGAGGAAAGAAAGGAAATGGAAGGAGCTTTCAGCATACTTCCCGAATTCAGTGTGTGAGTAGATTTTTTTCAATTACATAAAGTGCTTCCTCTGCTGAGGATTAATCATAATGCTGATTACAGAGGTTAAGTAGCATATAATTCTGAAGTTTTGAAAAAATCTTTTTTGCCTTTTATCACCAAAGACAAACAAGCTTGCACACTGACATGTAAGCAAGTGGACAGTTTCACTAACCCTATTGTGTATATAAAAGTGTATATTTTTTTGAGGACTGTTAATTCAGAACAAATTTCAGAAAATGAAAAAGCCTTCTTTAAAAAATATTAAGTGAGAATTTAATTTTACTGCATGATTCATTTTGAAAGAGATGTCTTTGTCAAACTTAATTTTTGTAGGATCATGTAGGAGTTTCAGCTTAATTTTCCTTTAGAACATTTCATATCTACATTATTCTAGTGTAGCTGCTATTATGCACATAAGATGTGAGGGATGTCATTAGGAAAGTCTGTATTTTTAGTACACCTGGTCATCTTAGAACATTGAAATGCAAAGTAAGTGACTCCATTTTTTTCATCACCTGTTTAACAGGAATTTGAAGTGATATCCGTATTCCTCTTGTAAAAAGTTCTGTATAAAGTCTTTGGGAACTTACATGCTAAGAAATGGCCATGTGCTATGGGGTGTCTGTGTATAAACTTACTATAGCTCATTACAGAAAATAGTTTGTGCAATCCCTTGCTTTTTGAAGAATTTCTAATTCCAGTTGTTATGATTCCTGATTCCATTAATTTACTTTCTATGAAAAGCTTTATCTCCCTCTTAGTTTTTTCTGTGCCTCGGTTTGATTTCTAAGAGCTAAATCCATTAAATATTTAGTAGCCGAATGCTTCAAAGCTTGATTAGAAATGAAAAATTAGACTCTCTGCCCAAAGTGGAATTGTAAGTGATGCAGTTGGGGAAGGAGGTGTCTCAGAGTGAGGCAGCCAGGCCTATGTATTGGGCAGAAAACTACTCAGACAAATGGATAATGAAAGATTTATCTTCAATTTCACTGCTTTCTAAAGCTTACTCTCAGAGCAGCTGTTAAGATTTTTTTTGTTTCTCAAATTTTCAAGTTCCCTTTTTGAAGTCTCTATCCAGTCCTTCCAGGACTGGAGCAGTATTTTTAACTGCAACTGAGAAGTGGTTGCCTGTTTGTCCTGGGGCTGTTCTGCAGTTGGTGCTCCAAGAAGTGAGAAGCATGGGTTCAACCTCTTATTTAGCCTACAATGATAAGACATGTTTGAGCCTACTGTTCCAACCACAAGTGCACCAATCTAATGCTCAAATCATTACCTTTAAGACTGACTTAAGGGACCATAATCACATTGTCTTTTGAAATTTGTTCCCTTCTGTGCCTTTCCTGGGGGGTAGGAGAAAGTTAACATTACTGTAGTGATTTCTGTACTGCTCTGGTGAGACCCCACCTGGAGTACTGTGTCCAGTTCTGGAGCCCCCAACACAAGAAGGACATGGACCTACTTGGAGTGACTCCAGAGAGGGCCACCAGGATGATCCAAGGGCTGGAGCACCTCTCCCATGAGGACAGGCTGAGAGAGTTGGGGCTGTTCAGCCTGGAGAAGAGAAGGCTCCAGGGAGATCTTATAGCGGCCTTCCAGTACCTGAAGGGGGCCTACAGGAAAGCTGGGGAGGGACTTTTCATAAGGGCAGTTAATGACAAAACAAGGAGTAATGGGTTCAAGCTGAAAGAGGGGAGGTTTGGATTAGATAATGGGAACAAGTTCTTCACTGTGAGGGTGGTCAGACACTGGAACTGGTTGCCTAAGGAAGCTGTGGATGCCCCCTCCCTGGAAGTGTTCAAGGCCAGGTTGGATGAGGCTCTGAGCAGCCTGGTCTAGTGGAAGGTGTCCCTGTTGATGGCAGGGGGGGTGGAACTAGATGATCTTTAAGGTCCCTTTGGAACCATGCCATTCTATGATATATCATGACTGGAACTGTATGGAAGTATTAATAAGCTGTTGCTGAGACCTAAAGATATCTAGGAACAAAAGCTGGCTTTTTTCCAGGAGATGAAGCAGCATTGCTGCATCTACCTTACAATCTGACATAGAGATTTCTGAAATTATTTCACAGTATTGCAGCCATTGGTGGTTTCTGCATCATGTTGAGCATGTTGCGTAATTAAGAGAGAAAAATTACATTTATAAGCATTGTAACTGGACTGGTAAGCCCGCACATGGCCACAGTCTACACCAACAGGACAAATTATTAGTGTAAGCTGTGTTTTTCAGTCATGAAGTGTTATGAGTGAAGCTGCTGTTGTGTAACTTCAGTGAATCCACTGCATCACCTCCTTGCCAGCTTACACCATTTTCAGCCTCAGCCTCCTCCTTGTTCCCTCTGCAGCTGTTGGGGGGTGGGGAAGCTGCTGGGCTCAAAATTGTTTCTGAAACAGATTTTTCTTTCTCTTACTTTCCTTTTTTTCTCCAGCCCCCATAATCTTTACCTTTCAGGGAGTGTTCTTGATTAACATGAAACAAAAAATAAGCTGTATTCTACCATAGTGTGTATGCTTATTGAGGTATTTGAAGTGATGTGCAGTCTGTAATCATATGTTTGAAAAATAGTTTGATTCCTTGTGAAAGGAGGGCATATAAAACCTCTACAGAGTTTAAGACCATGTGACGATTGCTTTCTGTTCCTGAAGTGTAGATACTGTACTCTACCATTAGAGAACAGCAATTGCATTTCTCTTCCCTCTAAGAACTGAACTGCTTGCAAGCTCTGCCCTTGCAGACTGGATAAACTTACACAAACATTTATTTGTGCTTTTTAAACCATGACAGTGGCATGTTGACAAACTGACAGACTAGTGGGAAGAAGCAATATCCAGCTAGATGATGTTGTTAGCTTGCCCCATGGCATAGCAGGAGTTACTTTACCTTGCTGGGCTCAGTCAGCTTCAACATGGGTGTTACTTCTGCTTTCTGATATTTTCCGACATTAATGTGTAGTGTTTGATTTGTTATTATGTCAATGTGCATACGAGTTTGACACATAATAGGTACTTTTTTTGTCACACATTTTAAGTGATTTGTTTAAATAGCCTAAGCAACAGATGGCTTGGTTGACAGCATGAAGTAGTTGTTGGAACTGCAAAACCCGCAGTACTTGGATAATTCAACACATTTGATACTTTTATCTTGTATCATACCTTTTTACTTTGAGGTTTTAAAATCTATAATTACCTGCTTAAAGCAACCTTGAATGTTACGTTTTGGGTTTGATTGTATTTTGGAATTATTCCTTTCTTAGCACTGTATCATTTAAGGTTGCTCTGTGTTAATTAGGCCCCACTTCAAGCTGTCAAACTGCTATTGTTATAAAGTATTACCACTCCCTCCACCCACATGATTTGCAGAGTGCAGAGTAATACAGCATTACAAGCAGACTCGAAATACAGTATAGCAAGATGAAGCTATGTTCTTCCTTTTGGGTATCTTTCCTTATCCTGTGGATAGCTGAAAACTATCAGCACTTTTGATTTTTATTTTTAAATTAACTTTCTAGACAGTCTGTTTTCTTCAAACAGTTGTAACATAAAGCATACATGTAAAATGCTTGTTTGAGTTGAAGGCAGCTATCAGTGAAGGATTCATGTTTGTTTTTAGTGTTTCCGCATGTGACACCCAAAGGAATTAATGGCATAGACTTTAAAGGAGAAGCTATAACTTTCAAGGCAACTACTGCGGGAATCCTTGCTACACTCTCTCATTGTATTGAACTCATGGTAAAACGTGAAGAAAGCTGGCAAAAAAGACTAGATAAGGTATGATCGTTTTCCTTGTACTTTTGTTGGGAAAAAAAAAAAAAGTTTCTTTAGCCTGAAATTGAAATTTCAGGTGACCTTGCTAACTTTTTTATTCTAGGTATTGCCTGTATTTTTATGTACAGCATTTATTAATTTTAGGTGTTTTCAGTATTATTCCTATAAAAAGTTAAAACCTCATCCTGACTGGTGATATAGTAACATGATTCAATATAGTCTTTCTTTTCCCAGCCCTTGTTCAGGTAGTATTCTTATATTTGTTTATATCTATAGAGAACCTGATATTATTCCATATCAATAAGTGTATTGCTTGCAGCCTTTTAAGGGACCTCATTATCCATGCTTGCAAAATGATGTGCAAATCTCTGAAATGTTTTAACTGTGGTAAGAGATGGTGACAGTACTGAGAACAACTACTTTACAACTTTAAATATCTCTTTAAGATACAATTATTTCGCTTTCCTTAAGGAGATTGAAGAGATGAGTTATAAAACGTTAAGTCATGTTTTATACTAACTGTTTAATTTTTTTAGATGTGTGGTATTAGAATATCTGTTATTTTAATGTCAGTGGTAGTTCATACTAAAGCCTACTCAACCACTGTAGCACCTGGAGAAGAGCAGTGTCTTCTCTCATGAGTTGTGCTGGAGGCATGACTTGGTTGTACTTCAGGCTTTGATTTCTAGAATCGTACCATCACTGGTTTCTGTCCTGTGCAGTCCTCTACCTGTTACTGTCTCTTGTTTTTAATTTAACATATTTCCATGTGGTGTATATCACACTTAAAATCTTACTTCATATGTTTTAGTGGTACACAATTCAAAGAATGAATGCATTCAGACAAAATACGTCCATGTTTGAATCCTTGCCCCTGACTCTTGGGTCTACTTTGTGCATACATCAAAGGCCTGGCCCTGTCTAACTGTATTGTGACTTCTGTGAACACAGTTTGTTACTGTTTCATCTAAATAGTTGGAGGAATTACAGTAGATCCAACACTTGAAGCTTGGTTTTAGGATCACAGGGTAATTCAGGTTGGACTAGAGACCTCAAGAGGTCTCTCTTGCCAGCTCCTTGCTTAAAGGAAGGACAGCTTGAGCTCAAACCGGGTTGCTCAGGGCTTTATCAGTTCTGATTTTAAGACTCCAAGGCTGGAGACTGCACAGCTTTTCTAGGCAGCCTATTCTGCTGCTCAACTGCTACAGCGAAAAAGTTTTTCCTTATATCCAGTTATCTTGTTCTAGTATCTCCCTATTGTTTTTCATCATTCTACTCTGGACTGCTGTGAAGAATCTGGCTCAATTTCTTTATGACTTTCTTGGAGGTACTGGAAGGCTAATATTAGGTCCTTCCACAAAAGCCTTCTCTTCTCTGAGCTGAGCAAACACAGATCACTGTTGTTGATCAGGCTTTGCTCAGAGCATGGGATGAAGTGAATTTTTCTTGTCTCTAGGTTAGTTTATATTAATACAGCATAATATGTTAATATAGAATTCTAATTTGATCAGATTAGTTATTTGTCACTTTTTTCTTCTTCTGTGGACTAACTTTAAAGCACTTGTTTTTAGCTACAAGTGGTTAACACATTCAAACCTAAGTTTCACTTTGAGTCTCATGTGTCTGATACCTCATACAGCATGAGTAAATACATTTTAAAGGGGGTCACAAGGTTATTTGGACTTGTTTTCCCAGAAATTAAAATAAGAAAAGCTTATAAAAAATTTGAGGTTTTAAGTTGCTTTAAGTTGGTAGACTTATAACTTTTTTTAGTCACATTTGTCAATGACACTTTTTGGGGTTTACAGCACACTCATGGTAAAGTACTCCAATATAAAATGATAACTTTTAATTTGTATTCTTCTAATTGCTGTCCTTTTGGAAGAGGAGATTTTTATTGAATTAAATAATAGAGAATTGTAGTGGGCTAGCCTTGGCTAACAGACAAATGCACACTTGGCTACTCACCACCCACCCAGCAGGATTAGGGGAAAAAATTGGATGGGAAAGCTCATGTGTCAATAGAAAGACAGGGAGATTTGCTTACTGGTTCTTGTCATGGCAGAACATTCTTGACTTGGGGTGTAATGGGTTGACCCTGGCTGGGTGCTAGATGCCCACCAGAGCCCACTCTATCACTGCCCCTCCTCAGCTGGGCTGGAAATGTCCCTCTGCTCCAGCATGGGGTTCTCCACAGGCTTCAGTGTGCATATGTTCTCTGCCCTGGAGCTGTTCCTTGTCCCCTTCTGGCCTTAGCATCTCCTCTGTTCCCCACTTTTCTTCCCCCTTCCTCTCTCCCTGGAGTATTTTTTGCTCTTAAATGCATTTACAGAGAGGTGGATGCATTTACACACGTGGTGGATGGGCTCAGCTGTGTCCTGCAGCAGGTCTGTTTGAGAGCTGGCTAGAACCACATGTGACACAGGGCAGCCCCTGGTCTCCTTCCACAGAGGCCACCCCTGCAGTGGCCCATGACCAATGCCTTGACAGTTACACCCTTAAAGACAGCAGTTGACTGTATTCAGACCTCTGCTAACACTATTCCACTTTATTTGTAGACCTGCCTTTGTTTTTATTTTATCTTGTTGTTTTAATGGTTAAACATGGCTTTTTTTTTAAAGAGTATCTTCTGTAACTGTAGGCCTGAGTGAAAAACATTGCTCTGTCACCTAATAAATAGATGTGGGAGGAGAATGATCTTTGTTGATCTTTGTACTTTTGTTTTTCTTGGATAGATGTGTAAACTGCTCTGAAAAGGAAGTAAATATTGTGAGATGATAAAGTTCAGAATACCTTCTCAAAGAGACGTTAGAGGGGAAAATTACATTAAATTGGGCAGCTGGGAGGGTTTTAGAGCTCTTACAAGTCTGTCCAGTGGCTGTAAAAGACCACCTAGCAGAGCTGAAAGGGGCAGCATCAAGTTTGTCCTTTTTGTGTCAGGAGACTCATGCCAGCGGCTCTGTGCTGTGCAGGTCACAGGAAGAATGAGATCTCTGTCAATGGCTAAAATCAATGAGCGTTTTACAAGTAGCACAAGTGCCACTGCAGTCCAGCTCGCTCTCCTTTCCTCTCCAGCCTCCTCACTCCACTAGCTTCAGAACTGCTTTTTACTTAACAGCAACACACAAAGGTGATCAGGAAGAGTCCTGTTACCTCACAAAATTAAACAGCCTCCATCTTGTAGAGGACTAGCTTAGCGTATGCAAGATGGATTTATATCTGTTGAACTTGGAGCAAATATATTTCAAAATTACAGCTGTTCTTAAAAATTTCTCATATTAAAAAAGCTCAAGTTCAGTAGAATTTGTTGAATCCAGAAGTGACTACAATTTGACTAGACATGAGTACAGCCTTATGAAGTGTGTATCTTTCTCTATAACTCCCTTTCTTTTTTTAAATATAAGAAAGGGGTTTAAGTTACATTCTGAAGGTTGGAAACTATTTCTAAACTTTTGAAAACAAGAAACTACTATAAAACCTCTTTTAATTTTTAAGGAGACTGCTAAAGTAATGCACTTAATGATTGTAATTTTAGAATTCTGTATTTAGTTTTCTGTTACCAAACTACTCAGATGGCCAGGACAAAATTAATACAAAAGCATATAATGTTATCTAAAGGTAACTGTAGTTACAGCTTTGCTTTGAACCTTTTACTTTTAGTCTTAGCTGTTGAGTTCTTGAGCTTGACTTTTTATTTTTCCAGTGCAATCTGTTTTTCAGTATGAACCTCTTGAATGTATTTTAAAATAGGCTTTTCTTAAAATGAATAAACAAGGAAAGGATTTAATATCTAGTAGTTGGTGCGGTTTTATTTACAACAAAATCCTTGTGATGATGCTTCTCGTTGTCTTGACTACAGCAACATTTTCCTGTTCTTGTTTCCTGTAATCTTACTAATGGTTATTAATAAGCAAACTTCTTCCAAATATTAAATTTTACCTTGAGATTCACATGTTTTGGTAGCTTATTTTGTTCACCTTTGACAATTGTAACTAAATGTCGTACTAAATTTTACAGTTTTAATACATCAGTAACTTTTCTACTGTGCAGTCAAACAATTTTCCGGTTTCTGTCTTATTTAACATTGTTGCCTAGAGAAGCTGGCAGATTTGGAGAGTTGTCTTTTGACACAAATGAATTATCACCAATTTGCAGATTGAAATACAGAAAGTGTGGGAATTTGGGGCAGGCGGGAGGAGGGATTAGATTTTGGGTTTGGTATTTTGTTTAGTTTTTTGTTCCAAGTGTTCCGGTAAGACTTATGTGCTTTTTTCCAATGACTTATACTCAAGTCATGTTTTGTGCATCTTCAGGACTCTCCAGTTCCTTTCAAAAAAGATGGAAGTTCAAAAGCTTGAAACCTAAGTGTTAGCAGTTATTGCCTGTTTCTGATAGTTTCAGGAGGAATAGCCTGCATTCACAGATAAAGAGAATACTGTCTTCCTCTAAGTGCTGCTATTTTCCTAAGGATTTTCCTGTGGAAAATTATACTACTTTGTTGTACATCAAAATTGTTGCTTTATTTTTCAAACTTTTCTTTAGAGACTGGAAAATGTGTTCCAGAGTGAATGTTACCACCAGATTCCCAGTTAGTAAACTCAGCCTTTCAGGATTGCTTAAGGTTTTTCCACTGAATCTTTAAAGTTCAAATTGGGTTGCTGAATAGTTATATCTGCAAGAAGTAGTGTGGCATCCAGTTGCCATCCATAAGACTTAACTTTCTTACACCTGAAGTGATCTGAAAGGGACAAATAAACATCTTGCGTATTAAAGCTGAATTCTACAAGAATTTCAAAGTGTTTATAGCTTTTTCACTGAGAATGTCTGGCAGTATGTAGAATTTGCAGAGGTAATATTGGACTTAATCTGCTTCTAGATTAACTGCTTTTTTATTCAAAATACACAATGACGTAGACATCATCATTGGCTCTAGTACAGTCACACACCTGTAATGGGAGAATGATGCTGAGTTGTTAAGTCTCTGCATGGACTTAAAGTGATTCAGGTTGATCCTATGCCAGCTAATTATAGAAACAAACTTACATGCTATGACTCATTAAATATCTCACCACATTGAACAAGTCTTACTTCTCACCCTTTGTTATCACTGCCCAAGCATCTGTGTCAAGAAGGTTTGTATAAACTGTCAGTCAGATGCAAAGTCTGACCCTCAATGAACCATGAATAGCTATGCTTAAGCTAGATTCCAGTCTTTGCTTGCTCATCTAGTTTCTTCCACATGACTTAAAAAAGGTATTGTTAAGGTACCTAGCCCCCTAAGCTTTGTATCATATATATGGGTATATGGGCATATATAATGCATGCATACAAGCAGATAAATTCAGAAGATCTGTGGCTTCACAATTGTTACTTGGAAAAAAAACCCAACCAAACAAACAAAAAACCAAACTACTGTACTGGTCATTCCATTTATTGACATGTTTATTCTTATCAGTCAATTCATTCTCATTGCACCAAATGATCATGTAATCTTACAGGAGATAGAGAAAAGGAGAAGAATTGAAGAAGCATACAAAAATGCTGTGACAGAACTGAAGAAAAAGTCCCACTTTGGAGGGCCAGACTACGAGGTACAAATTCTGCTGCTGAAATTTTTAAACATGCTATGACTTTTAACTATTGGTTTGTTTCTCAATGGGAAAAAGGAGTGTGTAAATCAAAGTGTTTGACTTGTGCAAATGTGTTCATGCCACTTTTATTTTTCCACCTTAGAAGCTGAAACTGAATCTCAATACTTAATTTTTTGAGTATGGAAGTCTGTCTTCATGTCAAGCTTCCATTTTCTGCTTTTGTCTAAAGCATTTTGCTTACAGATACTTCTGATGATTTTTTAAGTTATTTTTCTTGTACATTTGATACTGCTGATATGCAACAGTTTTGTACTGTCCCTTTTTGTTGGTTCAGCTGTATAGATACGTAAAGCAAATGTGGAAACCCTGACTACAGGGGCAGTCCTAGAATCTGAAGTTTAACTTGAATTGATTTTTAAATGGTCACTGCCACTTGAAATTTTGTGTTGACAAATTAAGTTATTTTAGGTTCCTTTCATCTGTTAAATTGCATATTTCACCAGCTTCATCAGTGAGATATTTAGTAAAATTCTGAGATGCTTAAACCACCTTCTGAAGAATAATGTAAGCTAATGCACCTGTAATGCAGCTTGCGTGATTTTTAAGAACTTGACCCTTTCATGTACATTAATCAAACACGTTTTTACTTACAAATCATAGCCTGAGAAATAGTACTAATATGTTGGTATATTTAAAAGACACTAGAGCTTAAGTTATCTGTTGTAACTGAGGTGTACACTGTAAAAAGAAAAGATGGATAGGAAGCTTGACTTGGTCTGACTGGTTCTGAACCCAGCTGCTTCTCCCAGGTATCCCTGTTATAAAGTAGTTTTTTGAAATCTGCT